CTTCACCCCTGAGTCTAGAAAACCCTGTTTCCAGCCCAAGGGAGGGAGGGAGGGAGGCAAGGGAAGAAGGCCTGTCTGCCTCTTAACTCCTGTCACACATGCCCCACGTGGGATTCTTGAGAAAGAAAGACCCTCGACTCCATTTGTGCAAAAGATATACTTTTATAAAGACCGAGTGGTTACAGCCCGGCAAAGCCAGAACTAAAAGTTTGCATGCGAATGTTCCCTAGTTAACTTTCCCGTGCATCTCCCCTGTTATCTCCCTATTGTCCAGTTACATTCAAAAGATTTGTTTTGGTAACGGTCCCTGCACTGGTGGGCTAGATGGTGAGCCATTGCATCTTCCCTCCCAGGCCTCTCCGGACGATGAGCTGATGTCTCGGGATGAGTAGCTTTGGCTTCCCCCTTCCCAGCCATTCCCTCTCCCATACTTTATGGCAGGCTGACATTTAGCAAAACAAGGCTGTTCTGTTACAGCAACTCTGACCATTCCTAGCCTACTTCGATATGCTCTCAGAAGTGGCTGGTTGGTCTTGGTCAGTTTGTGAAGGCAGTCCAGAGTTCTGACCCAGTAGGTTCAGGCAACTGATCAAGGGCAAATATTGGGCACCAGATCAACCCAAGAGATTATCCAGACCACCCCCAAATTCCATGACACAATGCAATGTAGGTAGGCATAATAACCCTCTCTCTTTCTACATCTGAAGCTAGGCAGGGAGGATTGACGTTAAGAAATTAGGGCAAAGGGAAAAACAAAACATTAATCTACAAGGCTACACACATGTCAACAGTAGTTTTGCAGCACAGAAGCTCTCTGCTGTTCATTATTTACTTACTCAATTTATATAACTGCCCACTCATGAGTGACTCTGAGCATCTAACAGGGTTAGAAATGTCACTGCATAAAAGCAACAATAAAAGGATAAAACACACAGCATGTCAGGAACAAAACACCATCTGTTTACGGTAGATGTATCTGTCATCCTGGGGGAAGAATCAACTCTTGAACCCAACAGCCTCCTTGAACCCAACAGGGCCCACTGGATCTTGAGAGGAGGCTTTTCCATAGGCAGGCACTATGTCAGAGAAGTTGTGCCTTCTGGACTCCACAGGGTGACTGTATTTAGTTGATGGGACCCAGAACTCATCAAATTTGCAGATCACACTACGCTGGTAGGAAGAGCCAACACCCCAGAAGACCAGCTCAGGATCCAGATGGATCTCAACAGATGGGAACACTGGGGCCTACCTACCTAAAAAAATGAAATTCAGTGTAGAGAAAAGTAAGGTTTTACACTTAGGGGGGAAAAACCCCTTTGTACAGGTACAGAATGGATGAAACCTGGTTCAATAGCAGTAACTGTGAGAGGGATCTTGGAATCCTAGTGGGCAATCACTTAAATATGAGCTAATAGTGTGCGCCAGCAGCCCAAAGAGCCAATGCATAAACAGATAGAATCAAGATCACATGAAATATTAGTACCGCTTTACAATGCCTTAGTAGTTAGACCGGAGCTGAAATGCTGCATCCAGTTTTGGTCACCTCAATATAAAAAAGATGTTGAGACTTTGGGAAAAAGTGCGGAGAAGAGCAACTAAGATGATTAAAGGTCTGGAGACTAAAATGTATGAAGAACGGTTGCAGGAACTGGGTATGGCCAGTCTAGCAAAAAGAAAGACTAGGGGAGGCATGATAGCAGCCTTCCAATATTTGAGGGGCTACCACAAAGATGAACCTATTTTCCAAAGGATGAAGAAGGCAAGACAAGGAACAATGGATGGAAACTAATCAAGGAGAAAAGCAACGTAGAACTAAGGAGAAATTTCCTGACAGAATAATTAATTAATAGTACGGCTCGCCTTCAGAAGTTGGGGGTGCTCCATCACTGGATGTTTTTAAGAAGAGACTGGACAGCCACTTGTCTGAAATGATATAGGGCAGGGGTTCCCAACCTTCTGCACCCCTAGAACGCTTCTGATACATTCTCGCACCCCTTACAAAAGTTCGAAATAATGGCAACAAATTATGCATATACATTGCAATTTTTAAAACCCAAGTTTTCGCACCCCCTGGAATATCATCTTGCACCCCCCCAAGGGGGTGCAAACACCCCTGGTTGGGAACCCCTGATACAGGATCTCCTGCTTGAGCAGGGGGTTGGACTAAAAGACCTCCCTTCCAATTCTGTTATTCTATCTTCTTACCCTGCTGGATCTTGTGGGACAGGCAGAGATAGTTAAAGTAGCCACGTGCTTTTGCAACAAAAGCTCTAAAAGGCACGGCTACTTTCATGTATAAGACAAAGATGCCGTGTTTGCCCTCGCCGGAGTCTTAGAGGCCTCCTAAATAATTTATGAAGCGTGGATATTGATCTTCATGCAGCCTCAGTGCCCCAAAACACCTTCTTATGAGGCTGCACCTTCAAGAAGAAACCTAGGTTGGGATTTCCAATGAGATTTAGACATTTGCTCCTCAGGGGCTCTCCCCACCCCACCCCACCCCCCCACACACTGTAGAATGATGGGCATTTCTTGCATGTGCTTCAGTTAACTGCAGCAGCAAAGAGCAGAGACTGACTGCAGGTAGATATACTGCAGGAGAGACAGGCAACTGGTCGGGAGGCTGAACTGTGCCATGGTTATGGGGCCCAGGTCATCCTCCTGACTGACTGCCAACCAGCCCTCCCAATGGGAAGAGCGCTGGAAGGGCTGAAACATTTCCTCCTTTTTTCACTTATTTGGGAGAAATTAAGAGTCAAAATGAAGACGTTTTGCTCATGGTGGTCTTAAGTTTGCTTTCCCATCCTTTGCTCAATCTCTACAAAGCAAGTGAAAACTGTCCTGCCAAAATAGGCCATTTTGTCATCTAATTTCAGGGGTATTTCAGAGGTAAATGGGGGCCTCACCTGAGCTATGGTTGCTCATAGTTGATTTGGGAGAACTTATTGATTCTTGATAGGTAAGGGATCTAATCCCTGGCCTTCATCAATCAGGGGCCTCCTTGGGAGATCTCAGCGTAGCCTCCCTTTTGGGAAGGCATTCTCATGCCTTGTTGTGGTTGTGAGGCAAAGGTCTCTGAAGAGCAGCAGATAAACAGAGCTTCAGATAAATTCCAAGGGGCTTGAAGACCACACAGATTACGACCTGTATGCCCCAGCACTGCCATCCATGATTCACATCAGATCCATGGGCTTGACCATGTGGGGAAGGGCTCTCCCCCAAGCCAAGGGGAACAAGATCAGGGCAGCAAAGCAAGGCCCCATTCATATGTCTCAGAAAGCCTGTGCCTACGTGGACTGCATGCCTAGAAACCAGGGCACGGATTCTGCTGCCAGGATGAGTGAGGGGACAGCCACGGCCTCCAAGCAAAGGAGAAAGGTTGTTGCTGCAACACCTGATTGTCAGACCTGCTCCAACTTGGATCCTTAGGAAAGAAAGACCCATGACTCCATTTGGTTGAAGTGATTTGTTTTGGTTCTTTTACTAAAGACAAATGGTTGCAGCAAAAGTAAGGCTGGATCTGTGTGTTCCTGTGCAAAAGGTTACAATTTCCCCCACTCCCTGGCATTCCTCCCTTAACCAGTTCAACAGTGTGCAATAGCATTTGTGTTTGATGTTTTGGGAACTGCTTTGAAGCTGGGTGCTTCTCTGCATTCCGTTCCCAGGCCAGGTGTCCTTGGTGACTGGTTTATTCCAGTTTGACACCTCTGGTTCCTGTCAACTTGTCCCCTCCCCCCTTTCTTCCTCTTCTTCTCTCCAGCCCAATCTTCCCTAATTTCCTTCCCTCCCCACTTTCGGTTTAAGGCAGGATGCCAATGAAGCGAAGTAGCTAAAGATGGCAGACTTGGCACTGATTCTGCTGCCAGGATGAGTGAGGGGACAGCCACGGCAGATTCCTCCTTCCCAATTTGCCCAGTGAAGGATAATTAAGCTGAACCTCTCCCACATTCTGACCAGGTAGGCAGTCCTTAACTCTCTGCCTCTGGCCCAGCACCAGGGAAATAGGGAGGAAGCCCAGAAGCATAGAACTTGATAAATCTCAGCAACTAGTTGGTTAGCAATGTCGGCAATGAAGACTTAATGAGAAATAAGGTTTGTTAAACTAATGCAGTAGTTCCAGTTCTCTAGATCAGGGGTTTTTGAGCTGTGGATCAGGTCACAAGCTATCCTTGTGAAATAAATATTCAGTTATTAAGAGTAAGTACAATGGTTATTTATTACGCAACCCTGACACCAACTAAATCATTTGTTTTATTTGTGGGGAGAGGGTGTCATATAATTTAATTGATCATTTGGGAGGGGTTGTAGTATTCCAAGCTATTACTCAAATTATAGAATACTGAAGAAAAGGGGAACACACACACACACACACACACACACAAGAGAAGGCTACGCTCATACAAAATGTCAAAAAAAATCAATACACCATCGTGCTACATTAATTGCTCTTTACTTCTTTGAAAAAAGATCTCCAATCTTTCAGAATGGGCAACTGTAATAAATTTAATAAATCATCATCATCTTCATTACAATCTTGGATCTCAGCACATGTCCACCACAGAGGACAGACCGGTTGGAGAGAGATCACCTGAGCCTCCTGCTTGGATGTCATTAGGCAGGATTCAGGTTGTCTTCTTCTATTAGATCCATTTTCACAGGTTGTGCCACTGTGTAAAAAAGGTCAAATGGGAAAACCTGCATTCCATTTGTGGACTCTGCTCAGTGTCAGGTCAGGTCAGAGATGCTCTTGGGTAGGTCACAGGTCAAGTGGTTGAAACCAGAGGTATGGGGCCTGGGGAAGGGATGGCTTATTCTCCAAGAGGTAACCCATATCTCCTTGCACTTGTTCTTGCTTGTTCATGAGTAACGTACATTCAGATTATGACTGCTGTCAAACCTGCTCAGCTTCCTCCTTGGGGAATGGCTAAAGAGGGGAGGCTTGGAGCTTATGGGTATGAACAGGCAGAATCCTCACATACATCTGTTTTGCCTTGCTCCAGGTGATGCTTTCGGAAAGGAAAGGAACGGATGAACTTTATGCCATAAAGATTCTGAAGAAGGACGTGGTCATCCAAGATGACGATGTGGAGTGCACCATGGTGGAGAAGCGAGTGCTGGCCCTGGCTGGAAAGCCCCCCTTCCTCACACAGCTTCATTCTTGCTTCCAAACCATGGTAAGCTCCCCCACAACCCTCCATCCTGAATCCTGCAACGGTTCCTCAATTGAGTTGAGAATCTTGTCCCTTGAGTGCATTCCTTGCGCTAGATCAGTGATGGCGAACCTTTTAGAGACTGAGTGCCCAAACTGCAACCCAAAACCCACTTATGCATTGTCGAGTGCCGGGTGGGTGTGGCCCATTGGCTGGGTGTGGCCCATTGGGTGGGCATGGCCAATTGGGTGGGCATGGCTGTGGTGGTAACAGCAGACTAGGTGAGACTAAAAAATTCAATCAATCAATTCCAACTTTGCAAGATCTTTTTTTCCTGTGAGAAGTTGAAATTAACTGATTGAACTTTTTTTTTTTTGCACGCGGCGGTGGAGGCCTAAAGCGAAAAGGTTTTATAAAACCCAGCTGAAGGCCTAGAACTGGGGCGATGACGCGCGTGCCCACAGAGAGGGCTCTGAGTGCCGCCTCTGGCACCCGTGCCATAGGTTCATCACCACTGCGCTAGAAATTTAACCTGGATGCACAAAATTGCCTTGTGTAAGGCATAAAGACCAAAGAAGGCATTGGCAGAAAAGAGAGTCTCATGAGCGGGAAATGGTATGACCTCTGGAGATTGGACAGCTAAGGTTGTTCAGCAGCAGGAAGTCAAGGATGGGCACAGAAGAAGAATCAAACTTAAGGCAAGGACAGCGGGACAACTGATAGGAAAGAGAGAGTAGTAAAAGTCAGAGTAGGAGATCCTGGAGAACAGAGAAACCCCTGGCAGAAAAAAGCACATGTTTCCTGGCCAGAAGGAAGAGGATTAGCTCTGCATAACTGGACATGGTGGACAGCTTGAAATAACAGCAGGCAGGAAGGCCAAATCAGCAGACATATCCTTGATTCACCATAGTAGCCCAGTCTCAGATGTGTAGGGCCTCCCAATCTGGAAAACAGAACAAGCTGTGCACAGGATGGATTTGTGTAAAGTGTAAGAAGGCCCCAGTTACCCACCAGTTGTGTAGACCAAAGGTGGAGTGCACCCACAGAGGACCCTAAAGCCCACAGCAACTCTGTCTTGTGAGGTTGAGCTGAAGGTTTCTTTTTCCCATCCAGAATTTTCAGATACAAAGAGAATCTTTTTTTAAATAAATATTTTATTAATTTTCTATTTTTACAATCAAGTGCCTAATAGACAACATGATGACTGAGTCCATTAATGATTCCGTGGTATATGTAAGCTTCTTCACACTAAACTGAAGCCCTGGCTTGAAGCCCAGAACTAGTTAAGACTTCGGCTGGCCTTGGAAGCTTTTACTATTGAGAATTGCAGCTGAGAAAAAAGGAACAGGCTTGGGGGCTGCTTATCTGTGTGGCAGAGATGACAAACATTCTAAATTTGGCCTGTCTGAATTTTGAACATAAATACTGACTTTCAGAACTGTATTGTGGATTTATTTTCTTGTAGAAGAAACATATGAACACTTTGGATCATAAATCTTGATTGTTAAACAACCTTCAATGGTTCTTTTTTCTCCCTGGACAGAAAGGATATATTTCTTACTGGACAGAAAAAATTGAATTTTACTTATATCTGCTTAGGGGAGATTCAGGAACAGACAGTTGCTTGGAGAGAATTTCTTTCTGTGGTTCATCAGTATTTTCTTGGTGATGTGGCAAACTGAGGCTTCTGGAGACATATGTTAAGGATGGTTTTTTACTATTTAGAGCAGTGGTTCTCAACGTTTGCATGATGGCGACCCCCGTCACACAAACGTTCTGCGCATGCGTGGCACGCATGCGCGGTGGCGCCCCCATGCGCGCCCCCATGCGCAGTGGTGCCCCCATGCGCGGTGGCGCCCCATGCGCGGCGGTGCCCCATGCCGCGGTGTGCATGTGCGGCGGCACCCCCATGCGCAGCGCGCGTGCGCAGGGCCACCCCCTTGCACAGGGCGCATGCGCGGGGCCGCCCCCTGAGGGGAGAAAATGGCGGATCGCCTTCATTGGCGACCCCCGAAATATGGTCGATCGACCCCAAATGGGGTCGCGACCCATAGGTTGAGAACCGCTGATTTAGAGCTAAGTATGAAACATTCATTTTTATTTTTTGTAGGTAGCCTTTATAAATTTATCCAACCAACTAGCTGTTCTTAAACCTCCTCTAAGCAGATATAAGTAAAATTCATTTTTTCTGTCCAATGAGAAATATATCCTTTCTGTCCAGGGAGAAAAAAGAACCACTAAAGGTTATTTAACAATCAAGATTTATAATCCAAAGTGTTCCATCATATCAGGCAATAGTGTATGTTTCTTGTACAGGAAAATAGTTCCACAATGCAGTTCTGAAAGTCAGTATTTGTGTTCATAGTTCATACATGCCAATTTTAGAGTAATACCATCTTCTCTGCCACACAGATAAGCAGCCCCCAAGTCTGTTCCTTTTTCTCAGCTGCAATTCTCAAAAGTAAAAGCTTCCAAGGCCAGCCAAAGTCTTATGTAGCTCTGGGCTTCTAGCCAGGTTTCTTTTAGGCATAAATAATTTGTAGTGCTGCAATTCACCACTAGAAGTCATCAATGCCGTTTTTCAGTTTTTAAATCCAAAACTTATATTGTAAACTTTTCAAGTCTTCCTTTTTTTAAAAAAAAAAAAGGTCTTAACAACACTTTTAGTCCCCAAATTTCCAAGTCATATGTATATATTAATTCCAAATTTAGTTTTGTAGGTTTCTCCTTTTTCCAACAAGTAATTAATTCACTGCTTTCCTGAGGGAACGGGGTGAAAATTCTCTTTCTCTCCTCGAAGGGAGTGCTTTGGGCAGATTTTCAGGAAGAGATCTTAAAGTCATAAAGAGAGGCTTAGGTCTCACCCAGTTTTATCCACGTTGCTGTAAGATTGCTTGATAGTGTTGGTTGTCTTCGATTGGCAGCAGCTTCTGTCTGGCTACGTGAATGCAGCCAGTCTTTCCCCCACCAGTTTGGAGAGCTTCCTCGGATCAAATGGGAGGGCTGCCACCCCCCCCCCACAATCAACAAGAATCCCTCCTTGCTTGCCACCTCTATGGGGCGACTTTTGACCCTTTCCAGGGTCCCCCAGCAGGACGAAATCAAACGCAAACGATGCAGCCCCATCTTTCTGTGTCTGCTTCACTGCAACGTCAAAATCAGACACGGAGAGAATCTTGATGGCCTCACTTATTCAGCCTAGGCTAAAGATGCATAAGTGGGTGTTATTGGCATGGAGTTATCTGATCTATGCCAGCCGATGCTGCTGCTCAGTGCCTTTATGTAGGTGTTAAATCAGAGCCCAGAGAGAGAAGTTCTAGGCCATGGAGAAAGATGGAGAAATAATATAAAGTAAAACTCCCCCCCTAAACCTCAAAGGTGGTCCAGGAAGATGCCATCTTCAATGGTATTGAAAGCACTGAGAGATAAAGAAAGGCTAAGATGGATTTACTACCTCCACCCCAGTCTCAGCAGAGGTCATCTGAAAGAGTGAGGGATGCTGTCTCAGTGGTCTGGAGAGAGGTCCAGACAACCCATTTCATCCAACATCCCCTGTAGCTGTAAGCCAACCATCCTTTCTTCAACCTTCTCCAGGGAATCCAACTAGATCTGCAAAGAAAGAGAAACACGCAGGTACAACTTAATCCAAAGCTGGGGCATTCCCTCCTGCGGGGAGAAGGATCTCAGGTGAACTGTATATCAGAGTTCCAGAGATAGCCCTAAGCTCTTTTCAAAATCTAGGGCAGGGGTCCCCAACCTCCAGTCCCTGGATGCCCAAAAGGTTGGGGGCCACTGCTCTAGAGTTAATGGAATGATATGACCACATCAGATTGTGATATTACCCAATTCCAGATCGCATCCTCGCTGTTCAAGAGTGGGGGCAGGAACCTGTTGCATCCTGAAGTGACCTGCAGATAGGAATTCTATTCTGCATCTCAATTAGCATCAGTTACTTTCAGTTTTCTTTCTAATTCTCCGTATCGGTGCTTCTCAAGCTCGGCAACTGTAGGACGTATGGACTTCAATGGATCACTGGGGAATTCTGGGAATTGGAGCGCACACCTCTTACAGTTGCTGAGACTGAGAAAGGCTGCTCTCTCTATGCCCAACGGGAATGCAAGGAAGTGACTCGTCTGCCAACCTGCCTCACACACACCCTTTTTCAAAGATAAAGTGGAGCAACAGAAATCAAGAAACCTTCCTTCCCTGCAGCAGGTGGGCCATGTTTTTGTAAAACGATTGGCATCCAGAGGAAGGGGCAGAGACGCAGTGACCTTGGGAGAGGCAGAGAGGCTGCATACTGTGTGTTTGGGGGGGCAACCTTTCCAATTTGAATGGGAGGAGCGGTTAAGAACGAAGAGCGCTGAATGCCTGTGTTTGAGGGGATCCTTTTGCCCCCAAAGCGGCCAACTCTTCTACTGCAATGCAGTGACTTAACACTCTGGATGTTGGAGGCAGGAATTAGGAGGGGGGCTGCAAAGGGCACGAAAGAGGGGCTTTCCCAGCTCTGGCTCAGCACAGAGAGCCGTGCAGCAAAGGACGCCAGGAGCAGCTCCCGCAAAGCGCTTTCTCTCCAGCTGCTTCCAGCTGGCGGCTGATAAGAGCCGAGGAGCCGCGCTGAGAGCAGCACTTCCTCGGCGGCGGCAGCTCTTGGACGGTAACAATGGAGGCTTAGAGGATTACCCTGAGATGCCAGCCCAGCAATTGGAGTTGGCAAAGCCCGCTGGCAGCCGCCAGAACTCCCCGAGCCTCTTTTTGTGATGAAAGGCCGGCGTGCTGAGATCCACGTCGTCTGGCCTTTTCCTGACATCTGAAGTGTGTTGGCAGAGGATTAGAGGGTGCAAAGCTGCCTGGGGCTTAGCACTAATCAGACCGGGGACACATTCACAGCTTGTAGCAGAAGGCATTAGATGTCAGAGGCAGAGATGAAGGAGCAGTTGTGGCCCAAGCATGGGAATCATCTCTCTCCATCTCAGCAGGGTATGTGGGAGGTGACGGAGGGGGGGGGGCTTAACCAATTGCTCAATATTTCAGGAGCCTGAGGGGCTCCCAGATGATCCCCAGATGCCAGGTGCGTGAGAGCTGCGCCCACTAGGATTAGCCTTCCTAAGCTGAAGGCATCTGGGTGTATGTAAAAAAGTCAAGGTGGTACCTGCAGCCACACGATTGGCACCCGCTCCGTTTGTACGTATACTGTATGTGATGCACAATTGGTGTAAAAAGGGGGGCAGAGTAGCAAAATGACAGAGTTGGAAGGGACCTTGGAGTCCAAGCCCCTGCTCTAGCAGGAGACCCTGGATCAGGGGTATTCAACTTTAAGACTTGTGGAGCAGCATGGCTGGCTGGGGAATTCTGGGAATTGAAGTCCACAAGTCTTAAAAGTTCCCAAGGTTGGACACCCTTATTCTATACTATTCCAGTCAAATGGCTGTCCAATCTTTTCTTGAAAACCTCCAGTGATGCAACTGCTGAAGGCAAGCCCTTCCACTGGCTAATAGCAGTCAGGGCAGGGTGTCAGGTGTGCGGTTGTGACTGCCATCTGGACTTTTCTGTCCCCACTCCACCCCCAGAGGTAGATGCCCCTGCCTCAACCTGCTGCCCACAACCAGGCGCAAAGGAAGTTCCTACAGGAAACAACCTTGGCCTGATCCCCTCCATGGGGGTCCTGAACTAGGGGCTCAGTATAGCCAATTAAAAGACCATTCAAACCCCAAATCCACTCCTCCCACTTGCCTTGTCTCTCCCCTAATCTAGAAATGTCTTCTTTAAGTCCTCATCTTCCTCCTCCCCACCCCTTCCCCGCTCCTCTCCCACCAGCTGTGCTTTCCTTCAATATGTCTAATCCCACACAAGGAAGTCAAAGAGATTTTTTTTTCTTTTTAATACCAAAAAGGCAACCAAATCTTTTCTTTCATCAGGATTTAAATTGCCTATTGCAGTGGCTTCAACAGAGTAGCAGTGTCCTGGTGAGGACTTGCTCCTCCCCATTTTTTTCAGCTCAGCTTCACGGAATGGCATCCCGCAGGACACAGGAGCTTCTTCCGGCTGGCTACAAAGTCAGGAAACAGGCTGCAGGAGAAGGTCACCAAAGGCAAGGCGATGACCCCAGTGGTACTATCAAAGCGGTGCTTGCTTTTGGCATGCATGGCACATGCTTCAGTTGCACAGCTGCGGCCACCGCCTTGACTTTGCAGTCCAGGTCCCACAGATGCCCCTTGGCAGGGCCTCCCCAACTGAGAGTTGCTTGCAAGGCACCCAAGAGGCCCAGCATGGTGCTCCATTGCTTCTTCTGACTTTGGTTCAGCATCTTCCACCATTTTTCTCCCCCTTTCTCTCAGGACCGCTTGTATTTTGTGATGGAGTACGTCAACGGTGGTGACCTCATGTATCAGATCCAACAGGTTGGGCGATTCAAGGAGCCCCACGCTGTGTAAGTGGCCGGTCCAGGGCTGTGCCTGGGTGGATGGGGGGAAGTGAGGATTTCTCCCTCTCCCTCTGAGGATCGATGCCGAGGGCCCAGGTGGCAACTCCTGGCCTCTCCGTTGCTCTCCCTTCTTGAATGGCAGGTTCTATGCAGCCGAGATCGCCGTGGGCCTTTTCTTCCTGCACTGCAAAGGAATCATTTACCGGTAGGTGGGCTCTTTTCCTCTCTACGGCTTCCCAACCTCTGCCCTGGTAGTTCCCAGGCTCTGCTGTGCCCCACGTCCACTGCCAGTCAAAGCCTTCCTCGCCTCAGCAGCCCCACTGGGATTGTCTTGATCAGAAGAGGCAGGGCTTTGAGGCAGCCTTTCCTTGGCTTCTCATACTTCTGTAGGCTTGATGAGACACAAGCAGATTGATAAGTCACAGAGGGGGAATTGGCAGGCCTGGGACGTAGACTTCCTCTCGGGGCTCATCTGCTCTGCTCCCTGTAGCCTGGCATCTGGGAAGCATCCGGAGGTCCCCCAGTGGGACTTCTGGAGCAGCAGCAGCAGCAGCAGAAATGCAGAGTAGGAGCTTCAGATCCCAGCAAGAGCCCTAAGGCCCTAGAGGGGGGGACAGCAGAGGAGTGGCCTCCCCGTGTCTTCTGGAGAAGCAACCATTTCAACTTCCAGGCGAAAAGCCTTTATTCCCTGCTCCTCCCCTCCCCCGCTCATTCTGCATGCTGCATCGCCTCCTCTGCTGCCGGCCTTCTCCCCAAGTACGTTCTTACCGGCTCTTCGGATAGCAGTTTGGGAATGACGCGGCAGCAGCTGTAGGGCGAGAGACGGCAGCTGTGTGCCGCAAGGTGGCTTTGAACAAGGGCCGATTGTGCAGGCCTTGATGAAGTGCCACCGACCCTCTCTTGCACACGGCAAAGCCTGTCTCGCAGATCCCCTTGAAGCACGTACAAGGCCCTCTGCAGAGACAAGCTTGCTGCTGATCCTTCTGGGATGGAGAACTCGGCGACATGACTTTATTTCCATTTTCCAGTCCTTCCCTAAACCTTGACGGGACCTGCCCAAAGAGGCTTCCAAGGCTCGCCAGAGGAGGCCTGCATCCAGGGCAGGGAAGGCTCTGCTGCCTTCTGGTCCAAAAGAAGGTGGTTGGGGCTTGGACACTTCCGTACTTCAGGAGAAGACAAAAAAAATTACAGAAATGTGTCTCTGTATTATGACCATCCCCTGTTTATTCACCTGTTTCCACTATTTGCCTGCTACTCACATCACCAGACTCTGGATGGCTGAGGCATACAGGTGGTCCTTCACTTACCACCAAAGTTGGGACCAGAACTTCCACTGCTAAACACGACGAGTGAGTCAGGCCTAATTTTACCAACTTTTTTGCCACCGTTGTTAAGCGAACCGCTGCAGCTCTTAAGTGAACCAGGTGGTCATTAAGCAAATGTGGCTCCCATCGTCGGCTTTGCTTGCCAGAAGCCAGCTGGGAAGCTTGCAGATCTTGACCTCCTGGCTGCAGGAGGCTGGGACTGACGTAGGTCATGCTGGGTGCCAAGCGCCTGCGTTTTGTTCATGTGACCATGAGGCTGCTTGATTCACTTAACAACTCTGGCAAGAAAGGCTGTAAAAATTGGCCACAATCACTTAACAATTGCCTTGCTTAACCATGGAAATTCTGATCCCAATTGCGATGATAAGTCAAGGACTACTGGTTTCCAACAAAATATCACTCAATGGAACACATTTCTGAATAGAGCTGGAGCTTCCTATTTCAGCTCCAAGATCTGATCTCAGGGATGCCTCTCTCCTCCCTTGCTAACTGCAGTCTCTCTCTCTCTCTCTCTCTCCCTCTCTCTCCCTCCCTCTCCCTCTCTCTTTCCCTTTCTTTCTTTCTTTCTTTCTTTCTTTCTTTCCTTCTCTCTCTCTCTCTCTCTCTCTCTTTCTCTTTCTTTTTCTCTTTCTCTCGCTACAGAGACCTAAAACTTGACAATGTGATGCTGGACTCCGAGGGCCACATCAAAATTGCTGACTTTGGCATGTGTAAAGAGAATATCTGGGATGGAATTACCACCAAGACTTTCTGTGGAACGCCCGACTACATTGCTCCTGAGGTGAGCCAAAGGCATCCTGTCTCTGTCTTGAACTTGTGTTTCTACTTCTCAGCAGAGGCTCCAACTTATGAGAGATCATCCCAAGTCCCAAATCTGTGTTAAATGGAGGTTAGTTTTGGTAAAAGGTTCAGGATTTCACACTTGCAACCAAAACTCTAGGACTCTGCCCACGGAGTAAGAACGGCTTAAATGTCTGTGTCAGAGGTGTGGGTGAGCGAGAGGCAAGGAAGTGGGTGAGGGAAGAGAGCAAACAGTTTTGCCAACCAATTGCTGGGCAGAGCCGATGAGAAGTCAATGTCAACGCTGCAAATATTGTATATTTTTGCTTTTGACAATATGCAGAATTGTCTGGTAATTATGGGGTTAATACAGAGCAGAAGGGGAGTTGGGGGGTAAAACCGGGAAAGAAAGAGGAAGAAAACATTTGACCTTCACACTAATTGGATAATGTGAGATATGAAGGCTAATTTAGGGAGGGAACATGCTGATAATTTAACTGCTCGGAGGAAGAGAACTTAGATCGTAGCATCCCTCCGTTGTGCCTGTGCTGACATTTTGTAACAATAAAAGACTTTTAGGAAAATAATGCCTGGAAGTTCTTTGAAATGTTTCATTAGCCGGAACCATAACAGTCAGTTCAGGCCTTTGAAGAGCTTATTGGGGAAGCCAATAGGATGCCAGGGGAGTTTCCGTGGTGTGGCGTGGATGTGCCCCAGACTGAGATGTTGTTGCTACTTATTTACTCTGCAACAGTGGATGTGGATATGCAATCCCTAAATCCTTGGCCTTTCAGCCGCTCTACTTGCTGCATGCATGGACACCCCCACCCCCACCCCACCCAGACTGCATGCATGGTCCATGCCATGATTAATTGGGATTAATTTTTTAGCCAGGGTGAAGATGCTTAAGTGAGTAAATATTGGTTGGGACCTTAATTAAAAATCCATTGTCGCTGGTGCTTGTCCTCCAAGGAAGAGAAATGGATTATAAAAAAAAATAGTTTGATGATCTTTATGAAAGCTGTATGAACATCTGAGTCAAGGAAAATAGCTCTGCTCCTTCTCTGAGTGATGCTAAGCCATTTTGCCTGTCCTTCCTTCCCAGGGAGATATTTAATTACTATCCCTAATGTGTATTATTTTCCCTTGTTCTGCCAAGATTAATACGGGAGCCCTGCCAGGGTGATTAATGCTCTTTTGGAATAGAACAACCAGCCGTGTGCTTTGCTGGGCAACACGGCTACATCTCCAAAATGCTCATTTTCTTACATTTTGCTTTTAATTAATTGTTTTCTTTAAAATGTACGAAAGTGGAAGACCTGAAGACCTGCACACCACAATTTTAGCAAAATAAAGGTAGGACATGGATATATCACTTGGAGAAGACAGAGAAGGCAATAAATAAATTCCACCTTGTTTCAGGTGCAACAGCAGGCAGAGACACCTGTGTGGTTGTCTAATTTCCAAGTTCTTTTCTGGCAAATCTCAGGTTTAATGAAGTGGCCAGGGAGCCTTCCCCCACTTCAAGCCTCCGGCTGCATCAGGATTACAATCCCACCTAAATGGCACCCAGGTTGGGCCAGATGCTGCAACACAATACTGCCAATCACACCAGTGCAGACAGGCACTTAAAAACTCCCAGAATTGGGAGTGGTGTGCAATCCTTTTGTTCTTCCTCGTGCAAATAATGCTGGCAGTTGGGGAATGCCTGGGGTTTCATGGGAGAGAGAAACTTTTCTATTTTCTCCAAAAGATGATTTTTTTTTTTTCAGGCACACACTTTCCTATCACTGTATTGGGAAATAAAGATGAAAGATGAGCACGCCTGGTGAAGAACGGCCTTGGAGATGAAAGGATTTGCTTGAATTTCTCAGGCAGAAGCTCTCCTGCATTTGAGGTGCTGCCTTTAGGGTAGCATTTCTCAGTGTTCAACAGTTTTATTAGTTTACAATATATGATACAATGGAAATACAAAAGTAAATAGCGGAAAAGCTGGGGAAGGGAAAAGGGAGTAGTGAGGTAAGGGGGGGGGGAGAAAAAATGCCTTCTTTTTTCCTCCCTTACCTCACTTCTCTACTCCCTTTCCCCTTCCCTATCTTTTCCGCTGTTTACCTTTGTATTTCCATTGTATCGTATATTATAAACTAATAAAACTTTTGAATACTAAAAAATAAAAAAGGGTGGCTTTTCTCCAGAGAGCCAAAATGAGGGCTGGAAAGCCGGTCTCAAAGCTTCTGATCCAGGCTGTTTTTCACCCGGTTTCTTACATGGGCTTCTGTGCACGTGTGGGGCTTTTAAGGCACAGTCAGCCCTGCCAGGTAGGCCAGTCAACCAGCAGTGCTGGGATCAAAGGAATGCCATTTTAGTATTAGGCTATTGCAGTGTTTCCCAAACTTGACAATTTTAAGGCATGAGGACTTCAACTCTCAGAATTCCACAGCCAGCAACGCTGGCTGTGGAATTCTGGGAGTTGAAGTCCTCATGCCTTAAAATTGTCAAGTTTGGGAAACACTGGGCTATTGTAACAAAATCCTGAAAGCCCATCGGCCCATCAAAGACCAAACAAAATCCAGAGGGGTGATTTTGAGTTTCTTCCTCAAGCTTTCCAGTTTCTTGAGACTGAGGAATTTGCATCTTCATGGCTTATTCATTCCTTCCACATCCCCAAGGCCAGGTGGCCTTTGCATGCACCTTTCTGCTGGGCAAGTGCAGTGCTCTTGCCTCAACTGGACCACAAGACCAGGGAGCTCTGACCAAGCTACATCCTTGGCCTCCCCACTCTTCTTCCTGGCTGGACATTCACATGTGTCAGAGGGAGCCCCAAAGAGAAGCCAGCTGGATTAGTCAAAAAGCTGCAGAAAACTCTCCCAATGAAAGCAGAGCAGCGATAGCATGTTGCATGAATGCAGCCAGCTCAGCTGGTTCAGAGCGTTGGGTGAGGCCTGAGGGCGAATCAGAGAAAGCTCCCCCGCTTTTGTACACTTATCTTCTTCTGATCTGCCTCCAGTGCCTCCTCTTTCTGGAGAAAAGCACCCCGGGGTCAAAAGTTGGATTTTGACTGGGAAAAGGTAAAAGGAGCAGGGGAAAGAGGGCTGATGGACTTAGGTGGCATCCTTTATTTTAAAATACTTGCCTGGATTTAGCTGCTTTGCATACATCATTTGACTGCCTTCTTGACATAATTCTGCTCTTTAGCGTGTTTTATAAGACAATTAATGCAAAATGGTTTAGAAAAACTGCAAAGCAGATAAGAAGGGCTACGAGGAAGGCTTAAAGTAGTGGCCCAGAGTTGGTGACTTGCCTTGGCCTTCCCCTCAAAGACCCAAGCATCGCCAAGCAAGGACCAGCTTGCTTCAGGCTGCCTGTGAATCACCGGAGATGTTAGAAAAACTTCTGAAGCAACTCTCCTGGCAATAAACATGATCGAGTCTGTGTATATTTCACTTCAATTACCATGTGATTTGCATTCATGTTTGAATACATGAATCTTTTTCAGAATAGAAATCTGTAATTAAGACGAATAAACTATGTAATGGTTTGAGTTAAGTAGCAGGCTGCAACCCCCCCCCCCAAGCCATGAGATCTGGCTTCATAAAACGATTGACGCCAGTGGGCTCCTCGTGTTAAATGACAGTCAATATGCCACTGAGGAAGAGCTGAGGATCTTTTGTAGCACCAGCGGTGGTGGTTATGATGTGGCCAGATTAAAGCCTTCGGGAGGTCCAGTTGCTTAGTTCTAGGTTGCGTCTCTCCTGGATTAGTTTCCATCCATTGTTTCTTGTCTTGCCTTCTGATGCTTTGGAAAAATAGGTTGGCCCCCCTCTTCTTTGTGGCAGCCCCTCAAATAGTGGAATACTGCTATCATGTTGCCCTTAGTCCTTCTTGTCACTAGACTAGACATAGCCAATTTGTCAACGCTGCTAATATTGAGTATTCTTGCTTTGACAAAATATGCAGAACTGTCTGGTATTTTTAGAGTTAATTCAGATGATAGAGAAAAGGGAGAGGAAATAACAAAAGCCAGGGAAAAGGAACGGAAGTGAATCTCTGCCCTCTGTGCTAATTGGAAGATGTGACTTGTGACTGCAAAATAACGGAGGGGTTTAGCAAGAAAAGTTAGATGCCAGCAAGAGGAATTCAGATTCTGGCAAAAAAACCTCCATGATGTGCCATCAATTTGTAACACTGGTAATAAAGGCTTTAGGATAAACATGCCTGGAAGCTCTTTGAAGTGTTTCATTAGTCAGAACCATGACACAATTCCTACAACCTTTCTTCAATGGTTGCCCAATTTCTTCTTAAATAAGAAGAAATACAAACAAAAAGCTTCCAATTTCCCTTGTAGCAAATATAAGTACAATTACAAAATTAACTTCTTGCTCTATGTTTACAAAAGAAAGCTCACTCCTAGACATAGAATCCGAGGGCTGGAAGGGATCTTGGAGGTCTTCTAATCCAACCCCTGTCCAAGGCAAGAGCCCTTAGTCCAGTGGTTCTCAGCCTGTGGGTCGGGACCCCATTTGGGGTCGAACGACCATTTCACGGGGGTCGCCAAACAACGCAGTCCGCCATTTTTTCCCCCTTTTCCTTGGCTGTGCTACTCCCTTTTATTCTATTGGCTTTTGAAAGCCAATAGAATAGACTCTCTTGAATAGAGTCTAATTCTATTGGCTTTCAAAAGCCAATAGGAATTGTCCAGGCTGTCTCTGCCCTGCTGAGCCCGCCAAAAGTCCCCTTCTGCAAATGGTGCTGCACCAGTTGAGTAGTCCTCGACTTACGACCGGTTGAGTAGTCTTCGACTTACGACCGGTTGGGGGTCACGGCATTAAACCATCCCAGACAAATGGTTGCACAGCCTTTTCTTAAAAACTTCCAGCAATGGAGCACCCATAACTCAACAAACTGTTCCATTGATTAATCACTCTTGCTGTCAGGAAATTCTTCCTTATTTTGAGGTTGAATCACTCTCTGATGAGCTTCCACCCACTGCTTCTTGTCCTGCCTTCAAGTGCTTTGGAGAACAAATTGGCCCCCTCGTCTCTGTGACAGCCCCTCAAGTACTGGAAGGTGTTGTCACGCCACCCTAATTCTTCTCTCCGATGGGCCGCTAGACATACCTAGTTCCCTCAACCATTCATCCTATGGTTTAGCCCCCAGACCCCTGATCATCTTTGTTGCTCTTCTCTGCACTCTTTCTAAGATCTTTTCTATTATCCTTTTTAAAATTACCACAATCATAAAGTCCTTTCTTCCTTTTTCATGCAAAAAGCCCATAAGGAATTTCAGTCAACAATAAACATAGACTTTTTTCTCATCAAAGAAGTGAATTTAGCCATCTCAGCCCTTTTATTATCTTCAATAACTATTCCTCCACTGTTGGTAGTTTCAAACTTTTCCACTTTTAGAATATAAATAGTTTGCTGCAGTTTATATATATGAAAAAAAAGTTCCATTTCTTTCTTTCTTTTTCTTTTTTCTTTTTGAAGGACCACACTTGGAATACTGCCTCCCGTTATGGTCACCAAGATACAAAAAAGATGTTGAGACTTTAGAAAGAGTGCAGAGAAGAGCAACAGTGATTAGAAGCCTGGAAGCTAAGCATAAGATGAATGGTTGCAGAAACTGGGTATGTCTAGTGCAGTGTTTCTCAACCTTGACAATTTTAAGGCATGTGGACTTCAACTCCCAGAATTCCACAGCCAGCAATGCTGGGTGTGGAATTCTGGGAGTTGAAGTCCACATGCCTTAAAATTGTCAAGGTTGAGAAACACTGGTCTAGTGTAATGAAGAGAAGGACTAAGGGTGACATGATAGCAGTCTTCCAATATTTGAGCAACTGTCACAGGGAAGAGGGGGTCAACCTATTCTCCAAAGCACCTGAGAGCAAGACAGGAAATAACAAATGGAAACTTATCAAGGAGAGAAGCAACCTACATATAAGGAGAAATTTCCTGTCATTGAGAACCATTAATGGAATGGCTTGTATTCAAAAGTTGTGGGTGCTCCATCATTGAAGGCTTTCAAGGAGAGACTGGACAGGAACTTGTCTGGAATGGCACAGGGTCTCCTGCTTGAGTAGGGGGCTGGGCTACAAGACCTGTTATTCTGTTATATTCAGAAGTGATGATGTTCTGTATCTCTAAAGAACAGAATTGTTCAGACAATAGATTTCTGTCACTATGAAATATAAAGTTGGGCTTTGAAGCAAGACAGAAAGGGTGTTGATGCTTTTAACATGTTGATATTGGAGAAGAGAATTCCAGTTTCTCAGAACTGAATAATCTTTTCTACTCTCCTCAAGGCCAGGTATGCATTCCAAAATCTACTAGCCCTAAGGAGGAACAATAATAATTTTGTTCCTGTAGAAGCCCTCCCTAGATCCAGTGAATTTTGCCAATTACTACCCAGTCACAATTACTTTGGGGAGGGGGCAAGATGGTTGAGAATAGAGTATCCTTGCAGCTGTAGACACTTTGGGGAGACATCAGTTATTTTGACTCTGGATTCAGGCAGGGTTTGGGGACAAAATCTGCCATAGTTGCCCTGATAGATGAGCTTCTGCAGAAGAGCGATGGAATGTTTCTCTATTAATTCTGCTTGATTTTTTTGATGGCTTTTAACCCCCACAGCCATGGTGTCATGCTGGATAACCTTTAAGAATTTTGGATTGGGGGTAGTAATGCTGTGAATGCCACAGAATGCTCTTCAGCCTGCAGTGTTGTTTAACGTCCGCCGAGAGAGCTTTTGTGACTATCATAGGCTGAAAAGATGACAGTTGTACTCCTCTATATTATCTGAACCAAGAGAAGCTATTGGGGCATGTTCTGAACTAGTATCAGGATAAGAAAACCGAAACTTGATCATGACAAGATGGCTGGGAGGTTCCTGGGTACAGAAATTAGGAAGTTTGCCTATACTCAGTGGACTGTACTTCCCTAGAAAGAATAGAGATTAGATTGGTGGTGGTCCCAAAGTCATTGGACGACCAAGTGACCTTCAGCCAGGAACATTTCAGAATCCGAATAGAGCTGGAAGGAACCTTGGAGATCTTCTAGTCCAACCCACTGCTCAAATAGGAGCCCTATAACATTTCAGACAAGTGGCTGTCCAGTCTCTTCTTAAAACCCCCCAGTGATGAAGCACCCACAACATCTGGAGGCAAGCTGTTCCACTGGTTAATTGTCCTCACTGTTAGGAAGTTTCTCCTTAATTCCAGGTTGCTTCTCTCCTTGATTAGTTTCCATCAGTTGTTTCTTGTCTTACCTTGTGGTGCTTTGGAAAATAAACTGACCCCATTTTCTTCTTTGTGGCAGCCCCTCAAATACTAGAATATGCCTATCATGTCCCCCCCCCCAGTCCTTCTTTTCTCTAGACTGGCCATACTCAAATTCTGCAACTGTTCTTCATATGTTTTAGTCTCCAGGCCCTTAATCGTCTTAGTTTCTCTTCTTTGCACTTTTTCCAAAGTCTCAACACCTTTTTTATAATGTGGTGACCCAAAGTGGATGCAGTATTCCAGGTGTGGTCTTACTAAGGTTTTATAAAGAGGCGCTAATACTAATTTACTGGTATTAATTTATTTCTTACTAATTTAAGTACTAATTTATTTCTTACCAGCTTCATCTTCTGTAAGTCACTTTTTTCAGTGCCCTTCTAATTTCAAACAGTCACTAAATGAACCTTTGTGAGTCGAGGACCACCTGTATTGGTATATTGGAACGTTACAGGCACATTTAACCTCACACTTAAATCAGCGTATAGGGGTGTGAAATTCAAACATTCAAGAAAAGTCTTCATGCACCACAGAGAGAAACCAGCAGCTCCTACGATTTGTACTTGTGGATGCTCTGTTTTGGCCCAGTTAAGTTTCAGTAAAGCCTTGTAGAGTTGTAGGATGGAGTGTCTTCTCCATTGTAGCCTGTCCTTTTTCAAGGACCCTTTTCCTCCTGGGTGGGAACACTTGGCCTCCTCTTATGTGGACAGTGGAGGGTGGCCTAATGCTGTTTTCATCCTTTTAAATGATATGGTGCTGTAAGGATGCTGGCTGGGGAATTCTGGGAATTGAAGTCCACACATCTTAAAGTGCCCACGGTTGAGAAATACTGCTCTAAGGAAGTTAGTTATAGATTTGGTTAAATTTATATAGTTATCTCCTGTTGTTCTTGTGGAATTCTTTTATTTGTGGATGTGTCATTCTATTTCCATGGAAACTCCCTTCTGTGGGTATTTGCTGTGAAAGTCAGATAATAAATATTCTACAAATATGTAGCATAAGGACTGCAAACAGTGAGATAAGGGAGCAGGTGCTGGTGGGTCACGCTCAGTGGAAAGACAATTTGCCATTTCAGAAACCTGCTTTTCCTTCTTTGTGGAGGATCGGTTCCCATGGCGTAAGACTCCTAAGCAACCAACCTTCCTTTGCCTTTCTTGTGACTGGGAACTGCAGCTCAAATGTGTTAGAAAAAGTGCTGCCAGGTTCCACCATAGGCGGACACGGTTCCCTTCCTACCACATTTCCCATCAAAACACTGTTACCACATGGTTGTGGGACCAAGAGTGCTTTGGACTTAGTCCTGTAATGCAGTAGTCCCCAACCTTTTTTGGCTACGTGGACCGGCTGCGGCATGCAGTGACGCATGGTGGGGGGAAGGGACAGGTTCGCACTCTCGACTTAATCCCGTGCATGCGCAAATGAAAACTCGGGTGCTTGCCCGCCACTTGCGTGGCCCTGTTCCCAACGGGCCGTGGACCATTACTGCTATAATGGTGATATGGTTTCTGTTGTCTTTCAGATAATTGCTTATCAACCCTATGGGAAATCAGTGGACTGGTGGGCCTTCGGCGTCTTGCTCTATGAGATGTTGGCGGGGCAGGTAATCCAGCCTTGTGCTGTGGGGTGGGGTGCCTTTGGGGTGGGGCATCCCCAGATTTCCCTAGAGAAAAGAGTGGGTGCCTCTGAAGCCCCTTCCTCTTCTGCTCGCAGGCACCTTTTGAAGGAGAAGATGAAGATGAGCTCTTCCAGTCAATCATGGAGCACAATGTGGCCTACCCCAAATCCATGAGCAAAGAAGCGGTGGCCATCTGCAAGGGGGTGAGTGACGCCTTCAGCTCCCCTGGGGGAGGGAAGGGAGCACATTTCGTAGGCCAAGCGTTCGGACACTGGGCCTGCCGATTATCTCTCCTCTTCTTCTGCATCCTGTTGCAAACGAAACCGTCACATGTCAGAGCTGATGGGGCTCTGAAGTACTTTATGAAGCTCCAGTTAAATGTATGGTGGGATAGGAGCTCCGTGGCATTTCCTTGGTTGAGCCTGAGCAGTGCAGAAAACAGCTCAAGGCTCTTCCAGTGGAAATCTCAGTGCTGAAGGAAACACGTTCCTCTCCTCCCTTTGGATGGGAAAGGGAAGATCAGTTAGGATTTTCCAGAAAATGTCTCACTAGTGGTGACCAGAATGATAAGGAGACCGGCAGGATGGAGGCGGGAAGGGAACAGCTGAAGCTGAGGCCAAATTTATTTTCTCTCTTGTCACAAAAGTAGTGAGGGGTCTCGCTAGGTTTGCAGCTTCAAAGTCCTTCCACCCGTTGAGTAATTGACAATGTCAAAGCTAAGGAATCCTGAAAGAATCTCAGTAATTGAAGTCCAACACACTGTGACTGACTTGGGTTTTCTTTGAAATCCAGCCATGCTTCTCCCTTCCGCCCTTCACAGGCACAGGCGACTTTCTCTTGCTGGAAGATCAGAGGAAGTCCTACAATCCAGCTTCCTCACCATTAGGCATCCCTCCCAGCGTTCCCCCCCCCAATCCCCACAGGTCAATCTGTGCAGCCCCAGAAACTTTGGGGAGGGGGCATTTGAAAAACAAATGTGGTCCCTTGAGCGGTGCGAAGCCCCTGAGCCTTGCTGAGGTTTTCAGAAAAGGCAGGGGTCACTTGTGGCCCTTTGGAAGTGCCACGGCATCTGGGCTGGTTGGTGTGGTGAGCTGTTCCAAGGGGACTGGATTTGGGGAGGGCTGTGAGGCCCCTTGTGGGCTGTTGGGCACTTGATCTTCCCAGAAAGTGGCATTCTTGGGCCGCCTTTTCCTGCCTCTCAGCTGCATTCAAATCAGGAGGAGATTTGTGTAGCTCAGGGTTGAAATGAGGGGTCCTTGGTGCTCTCTGAGCTGGGTTGCTTTCTTGCAGAGGTTTCCTTACCCCAGTGTTTCCCAAACTTGACAATTTTAAGGCATGAGGACTTCAACTCCCAGAATTCCACAGCCAGCAACGCTGGCTGTGGAATTCTGGGAGTTGAAGTCCACATGCCTTAAAATTGTCAAGTTTGGGAAACACTGCCTTACCCAAACTAGATAACGTCATCAGTGCTAGTGCTAGTCATTGCTTTTTCCATCATTCATCCATCCATCCATCCATCCATCCATCCATCCATCCATTCTATCTCAATCCAATTACTCTAACCCAGGGAAACCCAACGTGGTTGGCTCTTGCTCCAAATGGCCCTCTTCCTCACTCCCACCACTCCTCAGTATTCCCGCCTCGGCCCTGGGGAAACCCATTTACCACGCAGAGCCTGCCCCTCCCTGGGCCCGCCTGGCTGCAGCGACTGGGGCTCCGTGCAGCGGGGCCTTGAGGATGGCCTTGGCTGGGCCTTGGATCCTGCTCTGCTCAGACAAAGCCTGCAGAGCGTTCTGCCCTGCAGCTGTCCTCCTCTTTCCCGGACCTTGGGAGAGAGCCCTGCCCAGTTCACCGTCCGGCAGAAGCCTGGATGGGCTTTCTTTGAATTCTGTGCCTCGAGGTTTCCCGTGGGAATTTTGTTGCCAAATCACCTCACATCCTGGGGGACGATCCCAGACTGGGCAGAACTGGCAGCAATTTATTGATAGTTGAAGATGTGTGTTTTGTTTTTCATGGTGGGAAGCAAATATTCAGGCCAAAGCTACCTTCAGGAGCCATGGAAGCCTACAATAGAAAGAGATCTCAGAGGTCATCTAGTCCAACCCCTTTCTCAGGGAAGAATCTGCCAAAGTATTTCAGACAGAAGGCGATCTGGCTCTGTTTGAAGACTTCTGGCAAGGGGATTCATAGCACCAAATGAGGCCATCTGGCCCGCCGCTTGATGAGCCTTGCTCTTCTCCTAAGAGTCCCTCCTAATGGCTAATTGGTATCTAGTTCCACTGACTCTGGTCCTGCCCTCTTCCATGGAACAACCCTTTAGACCGGGGGTCCTCAACCCCCGGAGCTGTGGCCCACTATCGGGTCGTGGCCCATTCGGAACCAGGCTGCAGAAGTGGTGGATGAGCGCACACGCACAGCTCCACTTGCACTTGAAAAGGGCAAGTGCGCTTGTGCGTGAAGCTTCATTTGTGCAAGCAGGGGGCATGCACACCCACCACTTATGCCAATGGAGCTGTGCACACTCGTGTGTACCTGCCACTCACACAACACCGTCCTCTTCCCCCCCCCCCCGGTCCGCCAAGCTGGAAAAGTTGGAGACCACTGCTTTAGACCTCAGAAGATGGGCATTCTGTCTTCCCCATTTTCTCTCTGTGGGGCAGGCTGTAGGTCTCCACATCCTTTAATTATCTCACCCAGCCCTCTTCTGAAACCACCCTAGTTGGCTCTGGGGTTTTCAGACTCTGCCTTGGAACCTGGCCAAGGCAGAGTGGAGGGGAGCAACTGCTGTTCTCCAGCCTCCCCCCCCCCCAGCACTTGCTGCTCAGGGTGCATCCCTCAGACCGAAGGAGCTGGGTTTCCAAAAGGGAGAAAACACCCCCCTCCTCTCAGGCCCTCCTTCTACTTGGAGGCCGCCTCTTCCTCTGGCACCAGCAGGGCCCACACAGACCCTGGGGTCAGCGGGTCCTGGGAGGGGGGAATCAAGGCAGGGCCAGCCTCTCTGCCAGGCTGTGGCTGAAACCATTCCTGGCTCTCCTGGGCGAGTGATTTAGAGATAACCATGATGAACTTCCTATCGGTTTTATTTCCTTTCCCTGCAAATTGGCAAGAGATAAGACTGATTAAAACATCTGCTGGATTTTCAGTAATGGCTTTCCACACTTCTGGCAAATGCCAAGGCTGAATGGAAAGCAACAGAAGCAGGCACGGGGGGGGGGAGCAGGCTGTGGACACCCTCCCTTTCCTGTCGCACTGCTGCCTTTATTTTGGGCTTGAGGAAGATATGACACACACTTACATAATGCTATATTTGCGTACGCACCGAAATCATGCAGTGTGAACTTGAGTATACCCCACACACACTCCAGAAAACCTGGTGATGCCACATCACCTCCTTGCTCATGGCAGCCCTGGCTACAACTGCAGCAGGTGATCTCCGATGATCAGGATCCTTCCTATAACATACCTTCTTGATACCAGATATTGCATGTCTCTGCCACCCCCAGACCTGGGGAGACACACACCCCTCCCAGGCAAAAAAGGAGGCTGGCCCCCGGGGAAAGCATCAGGCCTTATTTTTCAGCTGCTGCTTTGAGAGAGATTAGTTTGGCCCCAAAGCGTTCAAGCTGGTTTGCCCAATGCACTCAACTTTGGCTGCAAGGGAACGTCCTCCTGGACACGAGCAATTCCCCAGCAGAAAGAGGTGACTTCCAGCTGCTGAACATGGAGCCAGAGCAGGAGAGAAACAGGGAACTTGGGTGCACATCCTGAGGCCCAGCTGGTTCTAGACCCGCCCAGAGGGAGGGCTTCGAAAAGCTGGAATGCACGGCTGCTGCTCAGTTGCTTCTGAGCAAAGGAAACCCCCAGCCCCGATCAGCCACTGCAGTTTCTGCGGTCTTGTGTGGCCGCCTGAGCTAGCAGGACCAAGGTGCTGGCAGGTGCCAAGAAGACAGGCATCGGAGAACCGAAACGGCGCCAACCCTCATCTGGCACTTCAGGTCCCAGTGCTGTGGTTCTTGACACCTCTTGCACTGCAGATTGAGCAGGACACAATATTAGATGAGCCTCGAGGTCTCTCCTAACTCTAAAGTCCCCTAAGTCTTTATCCCCAGAAACTGGGATGCTCAGGACGGAGTTCTGGCTGAAATCACCTTGCAATGAGCTCCTTTTCCACAGATGTGACTATATTAGCTTGAGTATATTAGCAAGCTTTGTGGAAGTGGTTCCAACCTTCCTCTTTCGGTAGAGCATGGAGTTGACTGTGACAGAGGTCCACATCATGTTTGCACGGAGAGAGTGATGCTTTGTAGAACAACAGCTTTTACCAGGCTCTCTGGAGTTTCTTTTCAGCTGCCCCGGAGCCCCCGGCTTGTCACACATAAACAGGAGCGCTTGCTCTCTCACCTCTGCTTGGGGATTTTCAAAGGTGCTTGGAACAACCCTGTTTCCAGAAGCTTTGCCTCCCCCCCCCCCCATGTTAGAGGCAAGAAAATGTTCACGTCCTCAGTGCAACGGCCAATTTGTTGGTCCCTGGCAAAGAAAACAGGTGCCTCTTCTGACTGGCTCTGCTGCGGCCAGTTGAGTTGCAGCGTATGTGGCTGGCATGTTCCCAAATTGCTTGTGAAATGTTTCTTCACGGGCAGACTCTCAATTGGCTGGAAATAGCTTGGCTTAACAGTGGCAAGACCAGCCGAAGCCGTCTGGGATGTGCTGCGCCTGGCAAGCCTCCCCTCCAAAGCCAGGGTTTCCATGTGAGAAATTCCTTTTGCTGAAAAGACACACACAACTTCCTTCTGGTCCTCTCGGAGCAGCTGAGAAGGTCATCAAAGCAGGGGGGCTGGGTAAAAGTCTTTCCTCCTGAAACCATGTCCCTCCCTCCTGGATGGGGGGAGGAGAAAGAGGAGGAGGAGGAGGAGGAGACAGCCCTGCACTTGGCAACAAAGAGCAGAAATGGAACCACTTGCCTTTCCGCCTCCATCACATATGGCACAAGTTTAATTCCACCGAAGCTCACTTCTGCCAATGAGCTTCCTCTGCAGGGTATATAAAGAGACACCGAGAGTGGGAGCCTGGTTGGTGCGGTATGAAATGGCTAATTCTGTGACAAGGGACACAGCCACAGAGTGCCGGGGGTGGGGAGGAGCAGAGAACCCTGTTCAAGCTGCAGAGGAAGATGGCCATTTCTTCATCCTCCCCAGCGTGAAGAAGCCAGCCCTTCTGGCCCAGCCCTCTTCAGATCAGGCTAGAACCCTGCCTTTCCCTCTACAGTCAGATGCCACAATCCGCTCAGCCCCTTCATTCGGCTCCGTGGGAATAATTGAATAAGAAGGATGTGCAAACTGGCCAAGGGCTGTCATTTGCGCATCCTAATTTCCTTTGAGCCTCATCCTGCTCCTGCAGTTGTGCAAAGCTCTACTTACCGGTTGGTGTTATTCCTTCTGCCTTCACAAGGCTTCTCCCGCTCAGCCAAAGGAGGCTTCCCATAAACAGACAATGAAAGGACTGGGGAGTCTTGAACTGGGTGTCAACTGCCATCCCCTTAAAATGCGCAGCAGCTTGGACCTCTGACCGCAGCACAGCCTTTGCTAAAGCCCGCCTCTTTGCCGAGAAGCATATTGTAAGTTGCTCGCGGTAGCAAACAGACTCTTTGTTTCCAAGGCCTTCCTCTGCAACGCACTAGCTGTCCTGATGGTGCTCTTTTTCTGGCCAGATCTGAACTCTTAGCCTAGCCCTTCCCTCCTCCTGATGCAGGTGGCTCCTTCTGACAGAAAAGAAGGCTGGTCTGCTTTTCTTGGGCCCCTCTTTCCTATTTCCTCCGAGGCTTATGGAGCTTTTGGATCCACCATCTGTCTTCCATCTCAGAAAGGAAGGAAGCCAAATACCATTGCCAGGATATTAACATTTCTGCTGCCGCCAGGTTCGCTGCGTTGTCTCCCGCTTGCCAAAGAGGGTTTGGCTGGAGAAGATAAACAGCCATTGTGCATTCTCTGCTTTCGCTTAGAACCGGCTGTTTCATTAAGCCAAAGCCTTCAGGACCAGGGGCTGCCAATTCCTCCGTGTTCTTGGTGTTAATGAAAAAGAGATTCCAAGAGCAGATTGTTATTCTTTGAACGGGGTGGCAGCATTTGCACTTAATTGCTTCGATGCTGTAGACTTGTAGATATTTCCTCCGCAGTAAGACTCTGCTTCTTATCTCTTGCTTGGGAAGACAGAAGCTCTTCTGAGGATGGGAGTCTGCTCAGACAGAGCTCCTTTGAGGAGGCAGAGGCTCTGCCCCTATCCCACTCCCCATCAAAAATACTAACGCTCTAACCTTGGTTCACAGAATTGCTGTCTTCACTTGATCGGCTTTGCCTAAACAATCAACCATTTGTGTATCTTGGTCTATACTATATGCTACAATGAGGACTGTATTGTACAGCAAATTGCTTGGACCTATTCTAGCTTACTCTAGAGCGTTGGGCAAATCCAGAATTTCTATGTTCATCTTCTCCTTCCAGATAGTGTGATGCAACTGAAACCAACAATCCTGTACAGAACTGATCTCCCGATCACTAACAAAATGGAATGAATGAATAAATGAATGAATGAATACTACTAATAAGCAGACTAGAGTTGGAAGGGAACTTGGAGATCTTCTAGTCTAACCCCCTGCTCAAGCAGGAGACCCTATAAAATTTTAGACAAGTGACTTTCCAGTCTCTTCTTAAAAACCTCCAGTGTTGAAAAGTAAAGTTTTGATAAAAGTAAGGCAAGAAAAACCAACTCTATAGGTACAAACCTGGTGAAACTTGGCTTAATGCCAGTAACTGTGAGAGGGATCTTAGAGTCCTAGTGGACAATCATTTAAATATGAGCCAGAAGTGTGCGGCAGCAGCCAAAAAAGGCAGTGCAATGCTAGGTTGCATAAACAGAGAGAGAGAATCAAGATCATGTGAAGTTTTAGTACCACTTTACAAAGCCTTAGTAAGACCACATTTGGAATAATGCATCCAGTTTTGGTCAACACAATATAAAAAAGATGTCAAGATTTTGGAAAGAGTGCAAAGAAGAACAACAAGAATGATCAGGGGGACTGGAGGCTAAATCGTACAAAGCACAGTCACAAGAATTGGGTTTGTCTAGTCCAGGGGTGTCAAACTGCCGGCCCATGGGCCGGACACGTCACACGGAAGCTGGGCCCACCCCATTGCCAGCAATGGCAAAACAGTCCTGATACGATGCACGGTCACGTGACGTCATGAGTTTGACGTGTCTAGTCTAATGAAAAGAAGGACTAGGGGAGACATGATAACAGTATTCCAATCTTTGAGGGGCTCTTACAAAGACATGGGGGGGTCAAACTATTCTCCAAAGCAGGGCTTTTCAACCTTTTTATCGATTGTACCACTTTTAGGATATGGCAATGTTTGAGTACCACCTAGCAAGGGGTCAAAAACTTGATGACCAAAAAACAAACAAACCTGTTCAAAGTTGCAATTGCAGTGAAATGACTTATGACCATTTTTCACACTTATGACCTTTGCAGCATGCCCAGGGTCATGTGATTTATATTTGGATGCTTGGCAACTGATTCATACTTATAATGGTCACAGTGTTCCAGGGTTATGTGATCCCCTTCTGCAACCTTTTGACAAGCAAAGTCAATGGCAGAGCTGCTGGTGGCCAAGTGCTAAGGCGGGACTTCCTTTCCTCCCTCCCTTCTCTGCCTCCCTTTTTCTCATTCCCATCTCCTTCTGAAGGAAGAATTTCAACCCCCCCCCCATATTTTCCTTCTTCCATATATTGATCAAACAAGGAAAGGCCTCCAGAGACAGAAAAGACAAGCTGCTGAGTGAACTAGCTTAAAAAGGCACATTCCCCTTTAAGAATTAGCTACTGGCTAAAAAGGAAAGTAAGGAGCGCAGCTGGCACTTAAGGAAGAAAAAAAATATAAGTACTGGCTGCAGGCTAAAGCAACCTCCCCAAATGGCTCCATTCTTAAGTAAAGGAATGCTACAGGCAAAATCCATTCAGGAGAAAAATACTTCAAAATCCCTTGCAGCAAAACTTACAGCTAACAACAACAGAGCAATAGAAACTAACAGGAGACATCAGCCATCAGCCAAATAGAAATTGCCAAACACTCCTTAAGAACACAAAGGCCTCATTGCACAAATCCCAGAACTTCAAAGTCACAAAAGCACATAAGAATCCTTCCAATCTCCATCTCCTTCACTCCTCCATGCCTCACCTCCAGCCTTTGCTGCCTTTTTTCATTCCTCTTGGAGAGTGACCCCTCCCCCGCTGCATTTCTTGCCTGTTTGCTGCTGCCAGCACAGGTGGCTGCCACAGCAGTTGTAGATGGGCTCATGGCCAGCCTCCTTGATCTCCTCTCCCCCCACCCTCCCCCTCCTTCTTCTTCCCCTTCGGTGCAGCTGACTGCCTCCTCCCAAGTTGAGCTGCCCACCTTGGAATGCTTTGCGGATTTAAAACACTAATATTTTGCTGGGCCTTTATTGGCTAGAAACTTTGCTCAGTTTTAAGTTATGGCCAGATAGCAGGATTACATTGTGGAAAGCAAGCGATTTATGGGTTGAAGATGATAGTTATTAACCTGCTGCTCCTCTCATTCTGAAAGATGACAGGTGAACCATGTTCTCTTCTTTTTTTCAAGCTCATGACCAAGCATCCGGCGAAGCGGTTGGGCTGCGGCCCAGAAGGAGAACGGGATATCAGAGAGCATGCCTTTTTCCGATATATTGATTGGGACAAACTCGAGCAGAAAGAAATCCAGCCTCCTTTCAAACCCAAAGCTGTAAGTTGCTTTCTTTTCTTTCTCCGTTCTCTTTTATAGCCCCAGAGCTGTATACCTCTTCCCGGACACTTGTAATAAGATATTTTCTTTCTTAGATGAGGGATGTGTTTTTCAGAATTAAGAACAAATTTGGAGGAATGCAGGGTTTATGCATGACAATTTTATTATGCAATTCCCTTGCTTCCTTGAAAGAACTACATGGCAATTCAAAATTATTATCTTTAGTTGTAATTTTTCTGGGTTATGTTGCTTATAATTAGTTTGTGCAATCTTCTTGCACGGGCTATAATCTACTGTTTCTTCTGACTCTTTCCACAATCTGTACTTTGAATCATTCAATGATTTTTCCGTTCTGGCCTTGATTGCATTAGTTTGAATGGTTTGCTCTTGAACAGCCAAAATCAAACCTTCAGTTTCTTTTTTTAATCTTCTAATGGTAAGCCATTCCTGGTTTTATGTTTATCTCCTTTCCCCTCAATCTTTTATAGAAATATTTAAACTTATATGCCTCCTGACTCTCAAGAACTCTGGGAGGGTAATATTCACCTCATCTGCATTACTAGTTCACAGAGCAAGGAAACTAATGGGCTTTCATGCAGGTCCTTCCACATCTACCAGGAACAGTGCACTGTGGTAACCAGAAGACTCAGCAAACAGATAGGTGACCTTTAGAGATTCCTCCTTCCCTTTTTCTTGACATCAGGGTGAAATGCATCAGAGGGGCCAGTTATACATTCTTCCTTCCCAAGCAAGGAATTTTTATGGTTGCATCATCACAACTGCCTGGCTGGACCTTATTTAAAACTACCTAACTTCTTCTTGGCAAATATGCTGTCATGCCAAAATTTTAACTACTAAATCAGCCATCTGATGCATCCCCTTATTGCCCTGTAGCGTCCTTGAGATCTGGTACCCTTGGATTAGATTGCCAATTTAACACATGTCAAAATCCTGAATATTCTACTAATTTTCATTGACCTTTTCATGAAGTTGGGTCATCTAATCTCTTATAGGGGCCTTCTTTCCATAGCAGAGATTGCCCAGTTGTCCCACTGTTAGGTTTTCTGACCTGAAAGCATCCTAAACAACCTCATTTCCGACAGATTCAACTCTGATTTTGGAGAATTTATCAATTTCTGAATGTTATTGCCCCTCAGCATATCAACCATAATCCAATGGTAAACTAGAGAAAACAAATGCCTTTGTGATTATACGAACTATTAAGGTTTCAGATGACTGCTGCCTGCAGTCTCTTCCTGCTTCACTAGGGTGGGAAGGAATGTCTTTTCCTTTAGGGTTACCAGATGGGGAGAGGGAGAGGAGGAGAATTCTTTAGATTTGAGAGAAAACTCCTGGCTAGGAGAAAGGGAATGGAAAAGCACTAAGATCTCCCAAGATGGAGGAAGTGGGGAGAGAAGAATGACTTGGTGAAAGGTGGTGGAAAAACCAGTTCTAACTGGGTCAGAATCAAACAGCCTGTAATGCATAGAAGGAAACCATCCCTCTCATTGAGAGAATGGCTTCAAACCTATCACACTATGTAGTTGGGAGAAAATATGCAAAAATTAAAGTTTAATTTCACTGTAAGTATCACTTCCATCTCATGTACAACAGTTACTGGAATTCTTTTTTTTAAAGAGCTTTGTAAGATTTGTTTTTTCAATAAATCTACTGATTTGTGTTTGGAATTTCTACTTATGCATACTTTTAGTAGGAGTGTTATAGAGAGAAACCTGAAACCTCCTTCTTGAGCTCTGACTTTTTGAATTTGTCTCTGACATTCTGTTAGTTCTCTCCCCTTTCTTTTTCTAGAGAAATTGGAGTTTTTATATCCCTTCTACAGTCTTTGCAGCAGCCTCTGCTTGCTCAGCAGGAAGCAATAATTCAGTCAAACACAATGAGAAATCAGCCACTATTCAGGACATTAGCTCTTTGTTGCACAGAGCTGAGCACACGGTCTCTCGTAATAGAAAGTTCTCTGGTGACTCCCTTCTGTTTCTTGTCTGTCTCTCCTAGTGAAAATTATTGGATGGATTGGGGGATGGGGGAGGCCAGAGAAGGAAAAGGTTGTGTTGTGAAGTTGCAACACAAACTGTGTTCTTCTTGTGTCCAGTTCAGGACGCAAGTATAAATAACCAGGGTTTATATCATAATATTGCAATACAATTTTTCATTTTAATCATCAAATGTATGATGATAAATAGAGCTAGTTAAGATATGTTTCTGATATGTACCCTGGCTTTGCCTCATTGTGGTGTTAGAAATAGCTGTGTCCTCTGCCAATTGACACACTCCAAGCTTCTCCATTTAAGATTAACTTGAAGAGAAGTCCCAAATAGTGTCATCTGTCCAAGGAAAGCAACCTTGTCTAAATCCAACTGTGAACTTTACCTTATTGAAGCATGTCCACATTACCTTCATTTTGGATTTAAGTTTTAGTTTGTTCAGTCCAAACAATCTTCATATATCAACCTACAAATCTTTCAGCTTCCCTGGAAACTGTAGATAGAAATTAAGAGTTGAGCAGAGTATTGTCCATGCGCTGATGAAATGTCCACCTAAGCTACACAGTGAGTAGTTCACATAAAGTGTACAGTGAGCAAGAGAGAACTCTGTAGCATCCCATAAATCAGTGACCATGAGAAGTAAGAGGACTATCCCTTCAGCACTTTCTAAGATGGATCTTCCAGGTAGGTGAGACTACATCAGATCTCCAGAAAGATGGTCTAGAAGGATACTCTGATTGGTAGAATTAAAGATTCGTTCAAGCAAAACATAAACCCCCAAGAAGCTTTTCTGAATTCTAGCCAGATCCGTTCTTTATGGTCTTTATGGTTTGATATGTTCTACCAAAGGGAAGTTGCAAGACCACGATCTTCTTCCAAAGTTCTCACGTCCTGTTGCTCTGCAACCTTCCCCATTCTTTACTCCCCCCCCCCCCTTTGACTTTTCCACATCTGTCTGCTGTGTCTATTTCTGCTTTGGATTCCCTTACTCTTTTGCTTCCTTAACCGTCTCAATATGCTTAACTACCAACAGTTTACACCAACCAGACTAGGCTAGTTTGCAGTTTGGGTGTTAAGGAGAAAAGGATGAAAAGAAGGTTTGCTCTACTGGTGAGTCACAGTTCTGTAGTAGAGGCAAGGACTGCCAGCTGTTGGGGAGGACAGCTGGGATATGCTCCAAACAGGTTGTTCTTGGCCTGGTGGTGTTTTTCAACCCCTGGTGAAAATAAATAGTGGGGGTGTGTGACTTTTTTGTTTTTCAGGCTTTTAAGCACAACTTTGGCATTGAAAGCAAATTCTGACCTGGTGAAATAAAAAAGACAATTTTCTGAGCTCTATATGAGCAGCTGTAAATAAATGCAAGTCAATTTTCCCCTAGCTATAAATACTGGAGGTGATTCTTTAGTGAGTTGTATAAAATAAATTTTCTCCTTCTAGGGGACTATTCTGGAGCTTGGCGTGGACATTAACGTGGCACTGAGAGTGGCAGTTTTATTTCCAGGCCTTTCTGCTAATTGTGATGTTTATAGGGGGCAGAAATCTTTGCTTGGCTTGAAAAGCTGGTAATTTTGCACCTTAAAGAGAGGTCTGTTCAGAAAAGAAGCAGTCTAGAGTCACTTTGCACCTTCCCTAAATATCACCCTGCCTTTTCTGATTAAAAAACAACATTGTTTTGCCACTTCCGTTTATATGCTGAGGCTGAATTTTGCTGATAGGAACTTTCTAACCTTTCCTTGAAGAAAGCACAATTGTCACTCCTCATTCACACATGAGACAAGCTCTGAGTTACCTTCTGCAGAGATCCAGAAGTACCATCTTGTTAACCAAACATGCGTTATGGCCTTCGTGGAGGTCTTTCGGGAAATGGTGCAAAAGGAAAGCTGACAGTCCTCTCAACTGCGCACATTAAAGACTCCTTGTCAGGCCCGCCCCAGCCAGGTCCCTAGGAAACAAAAGGCCCTTGAGTGACAGGTTCTTTTACTAAGGATTACTGGTTGCAGTGAAAGCAAGCTAGAACTAAGAGTTCCCATGCAAAATTACAAAGTTATTCCCTTTTGTGATTTCCCCTCCCTTTGATCAGTCCATCAGTGTCCAATAGCATCCCGGTGCGATGTTTTAGGAACCGCTTTGATGTCAGGCACGTCTTGAAATGGCTTCCCATTCTTTACCAGGCCAGGCATCCTTGGGCAGCAGGATTAATCCAGTTTTTCACATGTCTGGTTCCTGTCAGTGCCAACCCCTCCCCCCCCCCGTTTGCCTCCTTCTCCTTCCTCCGGCACTTTATTCGTTTATTTCAATTTATATGGCTGCCCATCTTATGCAAAGTGATTCTGAGCAGTGAACAATGAAACCAGGGATTAAAACATTCAACAAGGCTAGTGAAAACAAACTGGACGGAGCAAAATAAAGAAGGGAAGATACGATGTAAAATAGCCAATGTGCAGGCTCCCTCTCGGATCCTCAGGTTTTAAGCGCTGTCCGGAAGGTAACAACCTCCCCTTCGGAGGGAGGCCAACCTCACCTTACGAGGGAGGATGTTCCAAGAGCAGAAAAGGCTCATCCCATAAATCCCATCAGATGGAGGTCCCTCACAGACGGGACCCACCACAGGTCCCTGCCAGACCTGATGGGATGGGTAGACGTGGCCAGGAAGAGGCACCTCCTCAGGGAACAGCTCCCATGCCATGTAAGGCTTTAAAGATCAAGGGCAGCATCCCCTTGAATTGGACTTGGAACTAAACTGGCGGCCTCTGTGAAAGCTAATCTGGTTTGGATTTGGTTAGCCCTTAGACCAGCGGATCTCAACCTATGGGTCGCGACCCCATTTGGGGTCGATCGACCATTTTACGGGGGTCGCCAAACAATGCGATCTGCCATTTTCCCCCCTCAGGGGGCACCGCCGCGCATGCGCGCCGCGCACGGGGGCGCTGCCGTGCATGCGCAGCACGTTCGTGTGATGGGGGTCGCCGTCACACGAACGTTGAGAAACGCTGC